GCCGCTATGCATGGACCAAGCGTCACAAGGAGCGTGAACAACTGGATCCGACTAAGGATGTCCTGGAGGAGGCCAAAATATTTATCCGTACATTTCTGAGAACGCGTAAAGGTCCGAGCAACTCAGATTTGACTGCAAAGTTGGGAGATCCTGTCATGCAGGAAGACTGGGTGCGCTTTCCCCTAAGAGATGTTGTTCAGAGACGCACCGGCACGGATGACAGAGTGGGCTATCATGGGACCAAATTGGAATCGCTCTACTCGATCCTGTATTTAGGAAAGTTGCAACCGTCCCAGGATTCCTCTCAAGGAGAACAATATTTCGAGGGCTACCCAGGAGTCTACATCCATTCCGGCAGGCATGAGCGCAAGGCGGAGTCATATGTGACGCATGTATGGTTTCCCATCTTGAAGGAAGGCAACAAGTCTCTACGAGCAGTTGCGGCCAAATTAGCAGTGTCGTTCGACCAGGCTGCAGGATCTCTCCGTGGCTCCAAAGCAACGGATCAGTACATTCTCAGGGAAGACTACGTCCAGCTCGAGGCGCTGTTGCTTCACATCACAGACTCACTGCCTTTGGGGACCTATGTGCAGACTGGCTGGAATCCCCTTGCGGAAGCTGCCCCAATTCAACGCATAGCGAGGGAAAGACCGGAGGAGCCGAGTTCATACAGAAATCCACCAAGATCCTCCTCCCAACATGCCAAGGAATCAGCTGCCTTTCAAGATGATGATAACTCCACCTGGCAGGCCGCAGCTCCTCCTTGGAGAGGAAACAAGGCAATGGCCTCTGACCAAAGCGCTCTGCCGACCTCCTTGCACCAGCCCGAAGATGATAGTGATGAATCCTGGGGGATTTGGTCACCAGCTGCTGATCCCGCAGGCACAGATCTACAGGATCCATTTCATCAAGAAGTCCCACAGCATCAAGAGGGAGGCAGAAGAGAGCACGCCTGGCAGCCAGCAACTCAGCAATCACCGAGTTTAGCAGATCTGGATGTTAATCTTGATCGGCTCTCTGGACGGGGCGCTCACGAAACCAGACGAGAGATGATAGGCAAGCTCCTCACACAGGCTCTCAGACATGACCCAGCGAAGTATGGCATTTCGCTAGACACTGCTGGCTATGCCAATCTGAAAAGCCTTCTTAATTCCAGGCAATTCTGGCGGGCTGAAGTGACAGTTCACGAAGTACAGCGAGTACTGGAAATCTCACAGAAGGTCCGCATGGAGCAGATGATCTCAGAGGAAGACGGGGAAATCTACATCAGAGCCTTACAGGGTCATGGTCGTGACATCCCACTGGAAGACGATCAACTGCATGAGGTCCTGACCTCCTCAACAACACCGGAGTGGGGTGTCCACGGGACGAGCTGGCGGGCCTGGCACCAGATTCGCTCCTCTCAGCTGCGCAGAATGCAAAGACGTGACATACATATGTCTTTGTCACCAACCAAAACTGCAGGATTCAGGGAGGACTCCTCAGTGGAGATCTGGATCCACCTGCCGTCTTTGATCGACAGTGGACACAAAGTGCGTCGGGCGAAGAATGGAGTACTGCTGACGCGTGGACCCATTGACCTGTCCCACATCAGCACTGTCATAGATCGGCACACAGGCAAGTCTCTGCCCTTCTAAAGCGTCCTCAGCAGTTTCACCTGTACCGAATTCGTTCTGCTGTGGTCTACTTTCGCAGTGGGAGGCTTCCTCCGGAGGATTCCTCCACTTCATTTTAAAGTAGACAGCATGTACGCCCTCTGCTTAAGGCAACAAAGACTTTGATACAGCCTGAACGAGTTGTCTCTCTTTGCATGCACTAAGAGGAGTTTCCCCCACCCTCCACCTGCACATTGCCCAGGTGAGCTTGGCGTCGCGAAGTCCACAAGCAGTGGCAGGCACTTCCTTCTGCAGTTCCTAGTTCCTGAGCTGTGCAGCCTTCAGCTAGAGCCCTTGCATGCTTGTTAGCAATGGTCACTGCCTGCCTGCCATAAGAAACCGATTCACACTTCCGTTGGCAGTAGCCATTCTAACCTCGAATCCAGCCATCAACACCTGTGTTTCCAATGGAGAGCACTAGCTTGGTGCAAGCGCTCACTCCGCTCCTGGTTGCTCTCGTGCACCAGCAGGTAGTTGCAGAGGACCAGAACATCTCCTCCGAGACTACCAGCACAAGGGTTGCGGAGTATTTCAACACTCACAAGGTGAAAATCCTCGCTCAGTTCATGAACTACGCACATGAGGTGCTCCAAGCAGAGAGGTTGAAGACACTACTTTGGGCAGTACAGTCATTGCCCGGATATGATGAATGGCGTGAAATCAAGGCGTCCCGGCGCCAAAAGTTGCGGAGCATCAGCCTACGATACTTAAGCCTGATGAGGTTCACCGAGCTTCCCACCACCCAAGGAACGTGGTACTACAGCGTGATCCTCACCGAACTCGAGAGCTTCTATCGTGAGACGCACATTATCCGGTATACCTCAAGCATGCTTCCGCCGCATCTT